TTAATTTATATATATGTATTTATATTTTTGATCTGTATATATATATGTATTTTTTTTTTCCACAGGACATGCTTGTTGTAGGATGGTCATTAGGAAGAAAATTAATTTTTTGTAATTTTACATAAAGCTTCTCTTATTTTGCTGCTCCTCTTCATGCCAGTATCAATCTCAGTAGGTAGGCCAAGTCAGCATGACATATGGATTCTGTATGAATGCACTGCCTAGTGCTCAAGATGTTATTTATTCTGCCCAACTGAGACATACTTGAGACATGCTGTACAGCCCTGAATGAAAACTGCAGATGCAAATCATACAACAGAGGCCAAAAGCATTTTGTTACAGCTGCAGAGGAAGGAGGTTATTTTAACATAAATGTGTTTTTTTTTTCCTGAAAACATGTCAGAGTTCCCAAAATAAAGCGCATAACAGTGTGTATCCTAAACAATAAATACTTTTTTGACTTGGCTTTTATTATTTTTTGCACAGAAAAAAAGATATCACAAGAGAAAAATATTTACCATGTTTACACTGTTTTGATAAAAATCTGTCCAAGACAACAAACAGGACATAAGGAGGTGAATTTCTCAAATTTGTTATTACATATTTGCACATAATTATGTTCATATGCCATATATGCTGCTACTAAATGTCACCAGTAACAAATAAAGCATTACCAGTAATATTTCCACATTACTGAAGTACAAAGATTGAGACTTTTTATAGGGTATTAAGCACCCACCTCTTCTCCATCCAATAGATAGATAACCTCAAACATACCTTCCTCACCTGAAAGGCAGAATTACATACATTCAAGTGCACTGCAGTCTAAAACACTGCCAGATCTAACAAACACATTTAAACAATTGGTTGAGGTACCAAACAACTGAGAAAAATTTTAGGCATAGCTAGCCTTGTATTTGGCATAGGCAGGCATTTTGAAAGAACGCTGATATTTTAACTGAACCAATAAAGTAGAAATGATCACTAACTAAACATGCACTACATACTTCAGGACTTTCACTTTTCTTTTGTCCTAAATTTTAGTTTTAAAAAGAGTACTAAAGACATGATTAAACAGATTTAAAATGAGGTATTACTTCACATGAAATATTGCTTGTATTGGAATAAACTCAGGTTTTGCTTCATCATTAATACCATGCTGTCCAGAGCTCATCTGCTGCTAAATTTTAGGGGATTTACAGATTTGAAACCCACTAGCATTAATAGATGCTACTCATTAAATTCTCCAAAACACAGTAGCAAACCAGACATTTCTAAATGCCACTAAAAGCCGCGTGCCTGCACATGCACACAGACAGCCTGCACTTTCTCCTGTTAGTCGAAGCAAAGGTTTTAGACACAGTTAACAAGAGTCATTAGCAAGTGTTTCCTTGACAGTTTATAAACCCCGGGGCCTGATCTCACAGCTCTTACTCATGTGGGTTGCATGGGAAGGCTATGAAGGGTCACAGGAGTTGGACCCTCACACACAGCTCACAGAAATAAGGTGGCAAGCACAAACCTCATGCCCAATTGCCTGTCTTTCAGCAAACAGTGATGCAGCCAGGACAAATGGTTTGAAGAATTCTCAATGCCCGTTGAACCTCAGTCCCTTCGTGAGATATTTGTGTGTCCCCACTGAAAAGGAAATTGTACTTAAAATCTGAATTTAGTTTGGAAGAAATTAAAAGTATTTTTATAATAATATGAACAGAACTTATTCTTTCACAGTAATTTTTTTTTGCATTTATTATGATCCAGAAACCTAAGTGTGAAGGAGGAAACAAAATCACACAACAGCAATACAAACTGCTATGCAAATTCTCCTTTTGCTTGGTGACCAGCTGTTGATAAGATGGTTGGCATACGTCCTAGCTGCACCATTTTACTACATGAGCATCTTTGGAGAAAAGGGTATTAAGAAATAATGGAACTCTAAAAAACTAGGATGAGAACTTTTTAGAAAAAAAAATTCACAAAAAGAAACACAGATTGAGTTTTTTTGTTTGTTTAATAAAAGCTTGCAAGGCACGTATTTCAACTGAATTGCAACATCTATAGCAAAACAGATCAAAATTTGCAATACATCCCCCCAACTCTTTCAGGAAGTTAGATTTGTGACTGTGTTGAAAAACAAGCTCGGGTTGCACACAGACGCCAGATGTAATTATGCCCCAATTCTTGTCCTTCTGAGGGGTTCCATGAAACTCAGTGGTTTTTTTTTCACAGAATGTGGAAACTGGAATAGACAGCAGTATTTTTACTACTACATAACTGGATAAGTTCAAGTTTATCATTTTCTTTGAGATATGATTCTTCCAGTCACTTATTTAAAAAAATGCTGCCTCCTCACTAGGATAACAACAGATGTTTCTCCCAGATCCAAGACTCCGTTTTTTTTTTTTTTTGGTTACTTAAGGCTGCTGTGCCAATGCTGCTGCAATACAATTTTCTCTAATATAAAAAGTAAGGTAAAAATCTTAACTGATTCTCCTAAAGCAGAATCAATTGAAGTATCAAGAATACATCTTAAAAATTATGACAAAACCTAATAACAATAACTATGTCACAGTTCAAACAAGGTTGGACATGTTTTTTTCAACATATATAAAGGCCAATGTGCTACGAGACTGTTTTTACGTGTGTGGATGGCCTTGTTTGCATCCTTCCCACCGGACGTGCTCTACCTGTGCACACTCAAGCTGTGTTCTGCCTGGTACCACACATGGTCAGCACTGCAGTGAAACATAACAGGCAGTTTTGGACAGCTAGATGAGCACCTTGGCATGGCATGGTAAGGCAGGAAGCCCGAGGCGAAGTGACTTCATCCACCCAAGAGCAATTGTAACCCTGACATTCGCTACCTGGAATGCCTTGGTGCTGCTATGAAATGGTTTTCATGAATGATTAACATCAGGTGAGGGACTGACTGACACACAGATGTCTAATTCCAGACAGTGATTCAAACAAACTTAAATTATATACAAAACTCTAAACTTACTGCAAAATATTAAATAAATCTACCTCCCTACTAGCACATACAGAGAAAGCTCCTGCATGCCTGCTATAGCTCAAGTTAATACAGTAGCTTCTGTTGTTACACGGTGATAGAAAAGTCTGAAACAGTCCAGTGCAGTCAAACATAAGCACTTGCACCTAAGCAAACAACTGCAGACTGCACTTGGACAAACATACACGCTAACCTCAACACAGTGACTGTACTCCCAGGACGAATACTCCCTTCAGCTTGTAACTCAGTTTTACTAAGGTTTCTCTTGATCACATCCAGGATTTTTGATGAATTTATCTGAACAATGGTTTCAAATAAAATGGGTAGTTTAACATCTTGTCAAGACTTCTAGGCTTAAAAATATAAAGGAAAAATAGATAACAGACATGTTGACATTTACAACAGTTAAGTTTTTTTTTTTCTGATTTGAATCACTCTAGTAGTGATAATAGATTAAAAAAAAAAAAAAAAACAACCTTCAGCATAAAGTGAGTAAACATGTGCATAGAGCTGTTAGGAACCATACATATACACTGACATGTTGCAGTTCCTAGTAATTTCACAGAGTTATAACCTCTGAATTTGCATTTTACCAACAACGCAGGAGAATAGTTTTGCAGCTTTCATTCACAGAACAGTTTGAAGGTTTTGATCACAGAGTCCACCCACGAGTTAGATGCTTCATTAAAGACCTCTGGGGTCCAAAGAGCTATTCCCACATTGCTGAAGAACTGGTCCTGGGCCAGGCGTGACAAGAATCCCTAAGTGCAGGTAACTCCTGTGAGGTGAACAATCTCTTCCAAAACTTCAGTTCTCACTTTTTTGCCAGCTACACCTATGTAAGCAAATCCACTGTTACCTTCTGTTGGGTTTCCCATTCACAACATCAGGATTAGGCCTGAAGTTAGGATTAAAACAGTATTCATTCTTTCAGAAGTACATCAGCTAACAACAAAGCAAACAGGATGAACACATCATCTGTTAGGTAAATTAGCTGCAGGGGCAAAGGGGGTCATTACAAGAAAGACAACAATTCTGGAGAGAAGATTGCAAAGTACTTTCCAACATGTTGAAAATCCAAGTGCAGTTATACAACTGATTTTAAAACAGCTATGAAATATTTGACCATTTCTTCTTAATGGTGGTGATTTTAGTGTTTCAAATCAAGTTATGACACTATCTAAATATGCCTACCACATAGTAAGTGGAACGAAATTAGTGTCACCCATTCCTCCCCAGACGCACAGCTACACAGACACATACACTCACAGAGAGGGGGCCAAAGAGAGGTGCACAGGTCTCAGCAGCAAACCTGGCTGTCCTTGTCTGAACACCAGTACTGTGGCATGCTGTGCTATACTGGCCCATTGCTATGGCTGCCAAGACACACGTGGGCAGGGACATAGACATGTTTAAGTAACGGAGGAATCCCACACACATGTTCTCTCCAACTGAACATCTGATCTTGTCGAGCCCTGCAGCTAGGTCCAGGTCCGAGTGCTTTCACCAACATGTCTCCAGCGACGTGGAGATCAGTGCCTCAATCAACAGGACTGCTGTTTTAATAAACCTTCCTGATTCGATTTATACAAATACTACACATAAGTTGTATGCATGTTTGATAGACATAATGTTTAAAGTGGAAGACAGGAAGAATCAAACAAAAACAAACTAAAAACCCAAATGCTTATTTGAAAAGCTCTTCCTTAGGGTACCAACTGCTTTCTTGCTAGAAGAGAAAAGCTATATGACTTTAAATGAGGTCTTTAACAGAACGTTTCTGCATTTACTGAGGTCTACCCATATAAGGTCTCTTCAAATGATTTAACATTCATGTTAGAAATTTCATTTACATGAAGATTAAGATGATCTGTAATGAGAGGCCAAATGCCAGAACATGGAAGACTGTCACACTTTGTAGAGACTGTAAATTGACATTTTTTTTCTGTTCCCTTCAAGGATGGTATTTTTATCTGTTGATCCATAGTTCATACGGTTCCAGTTTGGTAAATTGAAGCTGTCAGTACACTGCATGTGCCCACATGTATCTGGAAAAATATTTCCTTTGGTCAAAAGGAACTTTTCCAACTGAATTCTGCTCAATTATCTTGAGAAAGAATCTTGCATGTCTTGTTTTCATGACTGGAAGGATATCACAGTGTTGATCCTATATACAAAGTAGGATCTGTTCCAGTATACCCGAGTAAAATAATTCACATATGGCGAATAGTTCATTTTGATTTCATGACAGAATCGTCCGTGTTTTGAGTAGGCATAACTGTCTCCTTCCTCACAAACCACCTGTCAGAAAATAAGAAAATCTAGTTAAAATAGGAGGAATTACAGAATGTTGTTCTCTACATTTCATTTCCTTGTGTATTCTGGAAATTTCATTTACAACTCAGACATTTAATCTCCATATTGTACAATTCCAATAGCTGAAAATATATTCCCCTATAGTGTGTAAAATCATGTCACAGATGGTATACATGCTTTTAACAGAGGCAGAGAAATGTAGCAGACAGATATCAACAATAGTAAGGAATTAATAGGAAAACATACACAACATCCTCAGTGGCTAAACTGGCCAGGAAACCTGTCAGCCAAACGTAGATTCCTGAGGAAACTAAGAGCAATCCCCTAAAAATGTATCACTCATATAATCACTCTATAAAATAAAAGTAACTAAACGAATTCAACATTCACATTGCAAATTCTTTTGAAAGCTGTATGATTAAAAAGTAAAGTTTACAAGATATCTGACACAGATTATTTGGGGCTTGAATTTATTCCCAAGAATGGGATACAAGAAAATATATATGTATATATATGTGTATACATATATATATACACATATATATATATAATCCTCCCCACTAAAAACAAAAACCAGCATTCAAGCCAGGGATGAATTTGATATAGATACAACAACAAGCTGTAACATCAAACAGATGCTTATATTCTTGACTAGGAAAAAATCCTAAATAAAGCTAACTCATGATTACTTAGAAGTAACTGGTGATCCCCTTTGCCCTATTGACCAGGGAATAAGGAACTAAACCCCAAGTAAGTGCAGAGCTCACAGCCCCTCTGCCTTTCTAAAGCCCAGGCTTTGGCTGGAGCGCCAGGAGCAGCCGAGCAGGCTGCGGGCTGCGTTACGAACCCGTCACGCTCCCGTCAGGAGCAAGGGCAGCGCTAGCGGCGCGGACGCAGCGCGGCAGGGCCCCGTGCCTGCACCTGAGACCCTCCGAGGGCTGGTTGATTCAGCTCAGCCCATGCACCGGGCTGCAGGGAGGGCACCGGCAGCCCGAGCGGTGCCAAAGAGGCGCCACCGAGCTGAACCGTGGGCAGCTCTGCACCCAGAGCCTGGGCAGGACTTAGCTTGTCCTCACCTCGTTTTCTGCTGAAGTGCAAGATAAAACACGCTGCCTGGCTAGGGGAGCAAAATAAGAATCTGCACATGAGCAGCTACAGTAGCTCTGCTAATAGGAAATAACTTTGCTGCAATTCGGGTATGTGTCCACACTTACGATCAGGACAGACTCATCTCACCAGCTGATGCAAGACAAACAAGGTCACGCGTAGAAAGAGGAGAAAGGGTAGGCCAGGCACGTCTTTTTCTATTTTTAAATTATACGTCACTTCTGACTATTTCAATTTACATTTTAAAATCATATCCTTGAGCCTAGTAAAGATTGCTCTGAGACAGGGCTTTACTGCTTCTGTAATAGACTTTTCAGGTATTATATATAGCTAAATGACATTTAATGACTGGAAGAGAATCAGAACAGCTAGAGACTGATGTACTAGGAAAGATTAGGACAATTCAAGAACAAAAAGGGAGGCATGAATACAGGTGTATAAAGAAGTTACTACAAAACTTAATCACTTTTAACACTTACCAATCTTTGTTTATATATTATATTTAGAAAAATAAACATCAGCACTAGCAGAATATTTCTTTTTAAATTAGTTATTTATTTATTCAAATATTCAACTTGTCTAGTTACTTACATGGCCATTAGCAATATCCAATAGGTCTTTAACTCTACATCCTCTCACAGGTCCCACTTCATTGCAAATTGAATCTTCAATAATCAAAAAATTTGCTTTGTAAGATGTGAGTATCTTATAAATATCTTCTGCAGACCTCTTTGAATAGATCTGATAAATCTATAGATTAGGGAAAACATTTAGTGCAAGGTAAAAAATAGTGGAAAATTAAATACTTTGAGAGGGGAACTTATCTGTAATCACACGTGATAGGTACCCACCAACCTATAAAGTGATGCTTATTTTTGAAATCTACTAAAGAGGCCAAGTAATAAAGAGCTGAATAGGAAGTACATGTTCCTGCTGGTGGCAACATTTTATACAGTTTTTAAGTGGCCTGAATATCTTCAGCCTGAGTATTTTGGCAACAGTGGAGCACAGATAATTTATTTGATACTTCCTTCCATATTTACCCTCCCATGTCCTCCTCTCCTTTAATATATTATTTTCCCTCCCAATTACATTTGCGTGTGTTGCTAGAGATTCCTTTTTCCCTATTGCAATTCTGGACCATTCAAACAGAGAGTGAGAACTGAGGTAGAGCGCTGATTTTGACTTTGCTAAGCAGTCACTGGGCAAGTCCTTCCCAATTTGTGACTTTCTCCCCAGCAAAATACACAGAATAGAAGTTGCTCAAAATCATTTTGAAACAACAGCCTTCCCAAAACCCAATATTGCCACATTGCTCAATGAGGAATCTAGTTCCTGGGTTTATAGATTATGCTGCCTTTCTCCACAAAACGTGGTACTTTTCTCTCACCTTAAACTGTAAACACTTCAGAGAAAAGACAGTGTTTGGAAAACACCAAACAATTAATTTGCAGTGCCAGGTAGCATAGGGAGCACAAAAGAGCAATGGAAACATGTGTAGAATGTGGAATATTACGAGATTGTCTTCTCTGGAACGTTAACATTTAGAGTACTCCCAAACATTTCGATCAAGCACAACCAAGTTCTACCTGATGGAACAGTCTACAAATCACAGCTAACATACATCTATAGAATTGGATACTCACATTTTCATTTCTCTTTAGGAGATCATCATCATTATACGTAGGCAGACTTGACACCATCCATCCAGTACAAAGCTTGATGACACCCATTAACTGTGGACTGCCTGCAAACACAGCAGCCACGGGAGCCTGTCTCCTGCGAAACACAACCAATGCACACATGAGTAAAGGCTGCATTTCCCAAAATAATAGCTTTACTTTTAAAAATTGTGTGAATCTTAAGAGGCTATGGCAAGAATTGGAGTTCATGAGGATATCACTGGGGGTCTAATTACAAGTGGCCTTAATGCTGCACTGACAACAGCCTCCTCGCCAGAACTGCAGCAAGGAGGAGTCTCCAAGGAAGGTTCCCCCCAGGCAAGGGCCCGTGGCCGTTCCCAGGGCGAGACGTCCAGCGCTGTCCTGGCATGGACGAACCTACCGCTGTTCTGCGCGGTTGCTGCGTGCCAAACTTGGGAGGAAGGGAGGCAGGAGGAAAAACAACATGGTGCTATCTTTGGAAGATTGAAGACTGTTTTCACTTGATCTTATGACCATACATTTCATTGCCCATGAGTAAATAGTGTCATGATACAGAATAACATCTACAGTAAGTGTATTACTGGGTATTGATTTCATCTTTTGATTAGTCATTGTCTTGTTTTACTAAAAGAGCCATTTCCACACTACTACAGACCTTTGGCAACTTTTTTTTTTCTGCAGAGAAAATTCAAAATAAATTCATTTTTATCAGGGAGAAAATAAGAAAATATAACAACAACATTCAATTAAATATCTAACTAGATTCTAAAACAAACAAACAAAAAACAACAAAAAAGAGAAAATAAGAAAATATAACACCAACATTCAATTAAATATGTAACTAGATCCTAAAACAAACAAACAAAAAACAAAACAACAACAAAAACACCTCAACCCCAAACTCTTATTTTCATTAAAAATACAAATAGCAGCTACAAATGCACATAGTCAAAATGCTCTTAAGCTGAGTGAAACTCAATGCGATTCACCATGATTAATTATGTACTTGACCTGTAATATACACAGACTAATCTAGAAGCCATTAAGTACTTGGCATTATTCCATTTGCTACCTTGAAGAGCTACAGGGGTGACAAATAACATATACCACTATTACCAGAAAGAAGAAATTGGCTGAAACACTGGAATCACCAGCCTTTTATTTTCTGAATATGATCAAGTTGACATTAAAGAGTCCATAAATATAGAAAATAATATTCTGTTTTTAAAAAAATGCACTTAAAGGTAAGTAAAGTATGTGGACACAGAGGATCTAATCATCACAAAAAGTGTAGTCCTTAGTGAAGTAGATCAAAGTAGATCTGGTCTAAGGCCAGAACGGAGTTCTGAAATTTCTGGTGAGGAGAAAAGAATATATTTGTGAAAATAACCAGACTACGTGCTCAGGGTTTGCTATGCCCTGTGAAGCATCAGGTAGGAACATTTGCAGCCTCTTGGTCAAAGAGGGAGTTTGAATCATACATGCTACGATCCCTTTTTGGACTGAAGGATCTAAAACCTTTTATCTAGATGGTCAATTTTGCAGGATACAGACAGCTCAAGCAATGGAAAAAAAGCACTGGAACTCCAATGTTTCCATCCCCTGCAGCCTTATGACCAAAGTATCCTCTAACCTAGTGAAAAGTTAGCATATGAATAACCAAGCGTTAGGACATTCACCTTTGTTTCTGAGTATCATGACATTTAACTTCATTAACTTAATTGAAACGACATCTGGTAACAACACTATATATGACTTGCTTGCATATTTCAGCATCTTCTCTTGCAATCAACGCTAAATTCCTCTTATATTCCATAGAAGTGCTAACAAACTTAAAACACATATTCCTTAGCTTCTCCTAAATCCCACTTAACAAGGGGGAATTCAGATTAATAGAGGTAGTTCCACAAAATGCTGAGGCAAAAAAAATATCCTGACTTAAAGAAGTAGCAGAGAAAGGGAGTATTTCATACTTACTTTATCCATGTCATGAGTTCTACTGTATCTGGATCGTAGAATTCTTGTAGTTCTGAAAGCTCTGTCATTATCCTAGGGAAAAACTGAAGGACATACATATCTGGTTACTTATCACTGAAAATCCACGGGACATCTCATAATATTAAAGCATTAAATAATACAACATAAATGTACATTCATTTGAATGTTCTCTCTTAAGTAGCATTTTTGAACATTTTGTGAATCCTTATTTACTCATTTGACAGCAGATCCTGTGTGGTTACCTGCAGTCTTCTGCCCAGTCAATACATGTCAAAAACAAGTTCTCATCTCTAATCTTACAATCAAAAAACTATGTGGCAACAATATTCCTTGACTTTAACTGGCATTTAATGCACCAAAAACATAGTTCAGGCGACCACTGCATCTGAATATAGATGAGGACACTGAATGAAGAAGCTGACAAATCTTCTCTCGTGGAAGACTTCATTCCAAAAATCAGATTATTGATGGTCTGGTTGGTCATAATATTAGACTGCACTAAAATAAATGTGTATGAAGTTAACTGTGAATCCCCTGGGCTGCTGCAACTTGGTGGAAAAGTGCCTTAGAAGCAGAAAGGGAGAGAAAAAAAATACTGGAAAAGTATCATGCAGGTAATCTGCCCTGGGCTTCCCTCTGGCTTTTACTTCAGTCACTTTCAGTGTAAGAAAGCACACAACACTGTATGAAGTGGGACATCTGAATTTATACTCCTGAAAAGGATTCTTGAAAAGAGGGGATTCTGAGAACGCAAACGAAATAGCAACTCCTGTGAGAGTAGCCCAGACTGCCAGTCTGTGGACAGGTAGCTTCCCTACCCATCAGGTCTAGGAGGTGAAGAAACAACAGGTCCTTTGCTAAGGCAGGAAATGTGCTAGATCTAGAGGTGTCAGACCTAGAGTCATGCTGAGTGCTTGTGTGCAGAAGGCCCAGCTAGGAGCTGCCCGGCCTGGAGGAGCTGGAGCGAGTCTACGCTCCAGGAAACGCTAAGTGGAGGCTACTGCTCGCCAGCTGTGAGGACAAAGTTTACAGGTTAGCACAATGCAGTACTACAGGGATAGCTTATTTTGGAACAGCTACAGTGTGGACACAGCTGGAAACGGAGCCTGCTTTTAACGGACAAGTTTCTACCCTGCTGTATGGACAATTCCAATGACTGCAGTCTATAACCAGGCAGTTTAAGGTAGCCCTGCCATCTCTTCAGCTGCAGCACCGAAAGCTGTAGCGATTCAGGAGCTTTTATATACAGACCTGACCTGTCCCAGAAGCCACAGCCAGGCAGAAAGGAACTGTTGCTGCCACCCTAAGTAAAACCAGCTTCAGCTACGAATGAGAGCCCCAAGGAAACCCCCGAGATCAAGGTTTATTGCAGAGTGAATCAGAGAGACGCTGAGCTACGCACTTAACCTTTATACCCCAGATGAAGATCCTGCACACATCTGCAGTGTCCCATCACCATTAACGAATTTCCATGCGCAGGGGTGAGCTGAAGGCGACTGTTCACCGTGACAGGACAGCAGAACCTGCATTTGCGGTGGACAGAGCCCTCTGGAGTCAAAGCCCCTCACTGCGCTTGGTAGAGAACAACTCCCAGCTGAACTAAACCAGTTCTCCCTCTTGCAATAGATTTCTTAACCCTTTTGAGCAACCGTAGATTTTTTTTTTCAGGAGAACATCTATGGCTCTGTCAGAAGTGTGTGCAGAGTCAGATAATAGCAATTTTGATTACTGTATAAGACAGATGTTACAGAATCTGTTAAAACTGTTAGTAAAAACAGGTTTTGATATCGTAACACTTTCTTTAAAAACTATTTTATTGCATCAGGATAGTGCAAATTTACACTTCTTTCATATTTAAACAGTTTAAAGAAAAATTATTTCCAAGTAATGCATCTTTTTTTTTCTCTCCAGTCTGCCTGTGACATGCAGTAAAGCACTAAATACTTATTTTGAGTAAGGAAGCATCTGTAGCCTTTCTTCTCTACAATGTAGCATTTAAATATCTTTACACAGTGCTCTGCATGCAGCTTTTTATTTCATTATAATTTGATGGAAGATTTCCAAGTAGATATTTGCCTACGTGCCTCCCATAATCTTACTTCCAACTAATCTCACTCTCTCTGTGAGAGCAAGATTAGGACAGCCTCCCGTTCAGTACTCTAGGTTTTATTTTGCAGTATTTTCTCTTCTGAATGACTTTACACATCCAAAGCATAAAAGCTTTTGTTATTGCGGTCTTCAACTATCAAATTCAACCATTTCTTAATTACAATAAACAATTATTTATAAACAAATTGAATTGTCTAATATCTCATACTGATACATTTAAATAGATTTGTTTTAAAAAAAAAGACTTTGTAAGAGAATACAATCTTTTATTTCCCCTTAGCACTATGTCTGTTCACCATTATGATTCATTTTGTGCCTACAGACAAAACATAACCCAAAAAGCTATTTTTCTTACCTCTTTCCACAAGCTGAATCCGATTATTGTGGGAACTGCCATACTTAGAATGAGAGCCTAGAAAAATAGAAGAAATGTGTTATGGATTGTTTCTCCATTCCCCAACTTGGAGTGTTGGGGAATCAACACTATCAACTTGATTCATGTAGAAGGCTACATTTGTATCAGAGTTTGTATCAAAGCCCTTCGAGTAACAGTAGGAGAAACTCTGCAGTTCTCTGCCAGGCTACCCTCCAGAAAGCCAATGACAAGAAGTTGCCTGATTTTGCATGGCAGAACTCATAGGACTTGTGATAACTTTGCCACCAGTACTAGGCATGTTTAATTACTGCTCTAACAATAACTCAATGTGCATATGAAGTAGGAAGCCAAAGAAAAGTGAACACCTGTGCTGTGAATGTAATGAGGGGATCTAAGGGGGAAAAAAGAAGGAAGAGAAAAGAAAAAGTGAAACAAGCATTTCAACCCCCTGGTTATACTGATGCTTTTGCTCAGATTAACAGATATGAAAAAAAAAAAATCTTTGGCACACCATTGCTGTAGCTGGTATCTTCTCCTCTTTGCAAAAATGGGAATATAGTGCATGTGGTACAGGGGCATTTGACAAGGAGTGCACATGAGACATTCTCCTGATCATAAGCTATGAAGGAAGCTACTGCACAAAAAACAAGTCTATACAGCAGAAATCATGCCATGTATAATGGAATACATTTAGTACCTACAGAACATATTGTTTTTGCTTAACTGGAAAAACTCTGTCAATGTTTATGACATAACAGTACTAAGCATTTTCACAACAAGTGATCTATAAGAATGACCATTTAAGTATCAAATCTTTATTCCTATAAGGCATCTTGAAAATAAGATAAACAGCACCTTATCCTCATTTTATTTATTAATAAAATAAATGCAGAAGGCTGTCAGAATTTCCCCAGGGCGACTCAACACATTAGGAATAAAGGCAGGATTAGAAGCAAGGGAATTTTGCACTACAATAAGTGGTCAACTTCAGTGAAACTGCTGCAACAGCCACACAGTGATAAATCCTATACAATAATTCCAACTAGCATTTCTCATGAAGCTGTTTCAGCGACCAAAACTACCTACCTATTTCACTTCCTAGTCATTTCCTAGTGAAATAAGGCTTATGGCCATGCTTCCCTGCAGGCCAGTACCTTTTCTTCTGCACTTGTGCTAAGGGCACCTGGTCATGTTGGCCAGTCTCAACTGATTATGACAGAGGGCTTGAAGTCTCAAAGATGCATTCATAAAACACAGGCAGATCAGTAAACATGAGAGAGACACAGACAGCGCTGATCCTCACAGATGAAAAACCGTAGTGTGAACATAATTTTATCACCAAACACCAGAGAAGATGTGAAAGAATGTTATTAGGAATGAAAGATAGAGAAAAAAAGGCTGCAGGAGATCTGTTGCTCACAGGGTGACTTGTTCTTCTAGCAGGTGATTCTCAGTCTTTAGTAACTGTTGCGCAAAGTGCAATGGGCTGCCTCACTGCAACTGCCCATGCACTGGCAGCAGCAACTCACCAGCAAAATGGGGTGCACGGCCTTCAGTCGAAGCCACTTGAAAAGAGTCATCCAAAGTTCTGGCGAGCACACACCAAATGCAGCAAGCATGCAAACGTACGGAGTCCACAGATACTTCATTCTGAAAGACATTGAAAGATCTTAGTTGAGACTCTGCACAGGTCACAGTACTTAGGCTACTTACAAAAACAATCAGATTTCTTTTCACATGTTAAATAAAGTCTGGATATGCAAAGTAATCTGCGACCAGACTTGATAGGGCTGGAGGAAAAGGACATCTCCAGCAGAGGAGCAGGCCACCTGATTATCAACTGCAAGAGGTAGGAACAAGATCCTGGGTCAAAGATGACATCATCTTTCACCAAGTTCAAGGAAGAAGGAAAAAAAATCTCCAAAAAACTCCATTTGGCTGTTCCAGTTTTCTGGCCAAGGAAAGATTAAAAAAAAACAACTATTCAGCCAGGCTGTATAGATACTCACTGCACTACAAGGGAGCTCCCTCCTGAAGAAAGGAAAGTATTTAGCAATTCCTTACTACTGACTGGTCTTTCTGCCTCTTGAGCACAGACAAGTCAAGCTGGACAACTACCTGGTTGCTGCCAATCGACATTGCAGGCTGGTGTTACACAATGAGCGTAATGCAAGAAAAATCTGCTGCCTCCAGGTTGATGTAGCTGAGAGGTGGTATTAGAACAGCAACAATTTTCAAACCTTAGTTCCTATGGCTTTAATAAGCACAATACCTTTCAAAACTGCTTAAACATGGCAAGAAAAAGTATACTTCATTCTAGCTTAAGAGATACGCAGGGAGATAGACAAGAAATCTTTTCCAATTCAGTACTGCCAAACATACACTGCTCACCAAAAACACTATGTCAGATTTCACTAGAAGGCTACAATATTCAGAGAATGACAGTGAAACTCTGAACTTAGAAATCATAAGGAAAGTAATTAAAATTTACACCAATTAATTTCTCAAAATTGGGCTGCTTTGAACATGCTTTAGAGAAATGTAACAAAATTCAGCATACTCCTCTGTATTATTTATACAGTCAAAATTCTCTTTGCTATATTTCCTACTAATACAATTGTATGTCAAATATATTTCTAAAAAAAAAAATTGAATTGTAGTCATATTTCAAAGGAGTGAATAGCACATCATGCCCACTTAGGAACTCTCTGTTGCTTTCAAAAGAGATACATCAAAATTAGACTTACCCTTCCAAACACATCGCTAGAGAACCAAGTAAAATTGTGTGAATTACATGATAAACTATTTCTGGTCTCTCTCCAATTCGACCATCCTCAAGTTTAACTGTCTCTTTCAGTGGTTCACCACTGCAGTTGGAGAAAATGAGACATCACTTAATTCAGACATTATCTCAGGCAAAGGTGCCAATAAAAATATTTTTATGACTATTAAGTCAGTGGTAGGCTGGGGTCATTCTGTGTCATATCATACAATACCGTTGCACTGCTTATTTGTTTTTCTGTTCTTCATCAATCATCTATTAGCACCTGCTGTCCCTTGTTTTAGCAATGGCTGTGAATTAATACAACGGGAATGCTACTTATTGACATAAATCCTACGCTGAGGTACTTCAGCAAGAGATGATCTAATTCAGGAGCACACGTACTCTGCAAACATTTAGAGGAAACACACTGCACAAATTTAACTATTCTACTTTTCTTCATAATATTAACTTGGTGGAGAACTATGGAGTCCACAAAACTGTGTACACTGTTTTATATATATATAAAAATGTACACAAACACATATGTATACATGTGTTGTGCTCTCAATATATGCATAAAAATGAAAAGAAATAGAATTAATGTTTTCCTACATACTATATAACATTGTATACTATGAAAGTGTAATCTGAATTCATTTAATGATAGAAATCTTTCTCACAACGAATTGGAAAAATAATTGATATTATTAACTGCTTCAAAATTAGAAAGTTCTTTGAAGGAAAGGAAGGTTTATTTTAAGTCTTTCTTAAAAACCTGTTGGATGTACTGATGTCACTGCTCATAAGTAGTAAATGGCTATTTCAACCACTACTAGCAATCCAGAAGTTTACTTCATTATTTTGAATATACTTCCATGCATCCAACTTGAGACAATTCTTCATTTATTACAGCATAATCTCTATCTATTAAAAGTTTGTCCTTGAAAAAAATCCATTGATTTTCACTGCAGACAAGTGAGAAATCTGCCCTGATTTCTGAGAAGTTGTATCATTCAGTACAGTCTGCCAGTAAGAGGCAATTTCATGGCCATCAAAGTTTCCAAGTTATGCTAAGATTGACAGTCTTGACAGTGTGAGTCTGCAGACAGCTACACTACCCCTTCTTTCAAAGGAACCCTGAATCACCGTGAAACCAAAAATAATTGAGGCAGTTTTACTAGTTAGCTCCATTTGGGGCAGCAAAGGTTGAGGAACTTACCACAGTAAACAAAGAATAAAAAAAAAAAAAAGGAGCATAGCAGTAGGAATCTGAAATCCCCACTCATTCTCAGCAATAGATAAACCAGGAAAAAAACAAACAAACAAACAAAAACAAAACAAGGAAGCAAAACCTCTTGCAATAATCAGGTGACTTTGCTGTCCTAAGGGGAAAAGAGACAAGGCATCTCTTTTTCCCTTTTAATGGGAAGGGACATAAACATATCATAAAACCATTATCTGGAGCTCTGTAGGTGTTGCACTTTTGGAAGAAAACCTATCAACTCTTCATGTGGACAAGAGGGATGCTAAAGTGATCTTCACTAATGGATTTTTTCTGTAGAAGCCTCCCTTGGACCTTTTCATTCCCTAGGACATCCTAGCAGCTCAAAGATGCAACAAACTTTGGAGGCCTCAGCTAGGAAGGACATATCCATTCACTTCATTCATGATCCTCTTATTTTTAACAATTTATTTCTCAGTATAAATAAACTACTTACCACATTCTCCTAAAAATGACCTGAGTTACAGAAAAAAGGCAGATAATTAATACTAAAATATAGAAAGGCAACAGTGATGACTGAGTTAGCCGCAAAAAAAAGTCTTGGGAAGGTGCCTGAAGTGATTCTTGACAAAGGAGCCAATTCATTGTAAAATTCCTAGTAAGGCAAAAACAACCCATTAAAAAACAATAACATATCACATAGATTAAGGAGGAGAAAAAAAAAACCACAATTAATCACTGTTTAACTTGTTCACATCAAAATATATTTTTTTCAAAACTCGCATTTGAAAACTGTTTCAAAACAACCTGCAATGGCTTTGCTAGCACTTCCAAAAGTAACTGGCAAAAGCTTTTCTTCACCAAAAAGAATCTGTGATATAAAGAGATCAGACTACAACTCTTCTCTATCATACAAATGCAACTTCCTGCATAACTCCACTATGGGGACCACAAAGCACTTTGTTGTCACAGCAGATGAAGACTTCAGGGATACAAAGGCAAGAAGATATGGGCTTGTCCCCATCGCAGAGGCAGGGATGGAGAAGGGAAAGTGCTCATCTGACACCCCACATAAGCCTAAGGCACTGCCTGGAAAGGAATCCTTAATGCTGAAATTCTAATTCCAGAACTGAACCCACTCAATCATTCTTCTTTCTAGTTAATGAGCAGACAGGTTATGTAGTCTGCTAAGAAGCATTATCAGGCTGTACTCTCCACTGGGATTGGTACAGTATGGGATGCAGTGAACATGTTTTTATTTTGCTTTTCTTTCCTTCTCCTTTTCTTTTTCAGCCATCACCCCCTAAATGAAGACTAGAGAACTGAACCCCTTTCAGTTAGACAGAACCAGTTGAAGGATGAACAGCTGAGCATGTCCAAACTGACTTTAAAGACAAATCTGCAGGTTCTTGTCCATTTCAACACACAGTTACACAGTTCTCCAGAGGCAGGTGTGCTCAGTTTGTCTCAGCCACTGGCTTCAGTGCAGAATCCCACAGCCTGGAAAGTAACATGCAGCAAGTCGCAGGGAAAAGAAAATCCCCAAATACCTGGTATTTGAACAACCAGAAGCAGTCCTTTCTGATCTTATAAAACTTTTTAAGAATGTGCATGTATTAAACAGGTCATCTTGCTCAACCTTGTTACAGTTGGTCTTCCAGAAATTCTTGAGAACTTCAGCTGTGCTGATGTCCTTCTTGGCTCCCTTCCCTGAAAGGCTGCAGTGGGGGTGTGAGAGAGAGATACAGTTTCCAGGACAGGATTCCAGCTCCCGCACAGAACTGCGCGCGGTGCTTTGGGTCCGGGAGGTGTCGCAGTCCTTAACAAAGCTGTGCTCCAAGTTTTGTAGAAAAACAGCAGCCATGATATCTTCTTGTGGTCCAACCTTCAGCCTCTTACAGATGCAAAATCCTTCTCTTAGAATCTCAAGAATCTCCTCTGACTTTTAAGATGCCCCTTGTGCTAAGTTCCTCCAAAATGTATTGGGTTTTGGAAGGAGTTATTTTTACAAGACAACTAAAAAGACCTCTCCTTTCAACATAGTACTGGTAGTTCTTGATTCTATTCAGAGCCCTTTCTTTTCTGAAGTGTATGAAGTTAGTGGTACTACCTTCCCCTTCTTATCTTTGCTTTCAAGTATTATTAGAAATATGAGGTAGGATACAGGTCTTTGCACTTCAACATTAAAAGAAAACAAACCTGAGATGCTTTTTATAAAGAACACTGTGGTATCTCAGCACCTACAAATCCTGAGAGTCATCGATGCCTCTGCATACACTCTAATTAGAGCTTAAAACCAGAGGACAAATAAAGTTACCCTAGCTCCTCTTTACTATTCTCATAAGCTACTGAAATTCTGTTCTTCTCAGAATAGCTTCAGATGTCCGGATACTTCAAAAGTTGTAAAGAAGTTTAAAACTTACTTAGTTGTGTTTAAGCCAAGTTTAACTTCAAGGAACTTCAGCAAGTGCTCATTTTCTTTATGAGGAATGAACATCTGAAAATTAAGTTAGCAGAGAGAAAAATCTTACCAAGTGCTGAAAAAAAGCTTTTATGCAGTCGCTTCATTCAGATTACATTCAGATTACAAAATGGCCCAAAATTCTCCTATTGGAGAGATTCTTTTAAAACTAGTGAATTGGATCGGACTGTTAATTAAAATATCAGGCAGTATTGGAAAACTTCAATTAAATAAATCTATCTTTAGATTTTCCTAGGGAATTTCACATCCTTTATAGCCAATTGATATTCCCCAATCAGAGGGCAAGTGGAAAGCTGTCAGCAAGTTGCCAAAAGACTACCGAGCGGTGAGAGAAGGAGAAGCATGAAAAATGGCACAGACTTACCCTCAAGCAAACCAAAGAACATTGCGTTTGGCTCCACTAAACAATAGGACTGCAGCCTAGCGAAAGTTATGAGCATTTGAGATCTTCACATAGTTAATTCTTTGAGCAGTCAAAAGTTCTACATACTGTCTACATAATTTAGCTCATACATTTTTCAAGGTTAGGTTTTATTTTCCTGGAGATACAGCACGGTTGGCCAATCTGAATGGCACAAGAAAAGAATCAGATCTGAGCAGTCTCTCATCAGCTTTTCAGGGTACACTTGGTTCTTTATTTTTAAGTCAACAAGTCAGAGTGAGGTTGAGACAAGGAAGAAAAGCTCAGTACGTATGGAAGAGGTTAGGGCCAGAAAGAAGGAGTTGCTAATTGAAATGCAAGACCAGGCTAAAATCCCACTGTGCAACCTCATCTCTTGGCTACTTCCACATTAAATGAAGGTTTCTGTTCCCATGTCCTAATTGGAATTTAATTGGAATTTAATTTCTACCCCAGGACAACTCATATCCATTCCTTGCTACTAGCTCTTTACCATGCACTGAACATTGTTGTAATGTTCAGCAAAATTTGTAGAGGCCATCCAAGCTATAATAAAAATTGCATTTATGAAATAGCTGAGGTGTGACTTACAGAGTATTTCTATACTGTGCTTTAATTTCAAACCGTAGGACTTTTTTTTTTTTTTTTAAGAATTTTGGAGGAAAAAAAACCACACATCCCCCCCCACCCCGAAAAAAATAAAAAGAAAACAAACACATCTGCTTGAGTGGTAGAAGATTTTTGCAAACATATAGACACAAAATGACTCAACCTTTAATCCTCCAGTTTTCTAAGAATTAAGCTATAAACTATAAACTGTCAGAACAATCAGATAAGTAAAACTTGTAAAGATTTTTTTCAAGATTAACTGTAACTTAACATTTAGAATATGGTTTAATTAATAAAATTTTCTACTGAAGAAGCTTACCTTCAGTAAGAAGTTTAGTGTCACTGTTACTGTAAGTACCAAGTAAATGTACATTATTTTCAGCAATCTTGACATAAATGTACCTTTTCTCATATTCATCTGCAAAAATATTTTCAAAATTCCAAATTATTTGGAGCTTAGTTTAAACACTAAAAACTATACTCGAAGTTAGAGCAGAGCCTAATTACCTGAAGGCATTTAGACAGCATTAAAGCTCCTACAAGACTTAGTAATGGTGACACTAGTAAGGCTGAATTTTCAAACTGCAAGAGGTACCCCGAAAAGATAGATAACAAGTAGATCTTGTATACTTCATGTACCTGTTGAGGAAAATAAAATAAAAGTACAGCGTATAGTCATTGCTTTCTAGAATAGTAAATAATTCCTTCTGTACTCCTGTTTATCAGCACAACTAAATTTCTATCTTTCAGCTCATGAATGTGACAGGGCACTATTTGGCTCTAAAAAGTACTTTACATCAACATGACCTTGGTCAGCGTGTGCAACCTGTGCACAACTGCATCTCAGGAAACCTGTGACCTTGCCAAAAGAAGCTGCATTTTATGCAGTCTTTCTTTTCTGAAGCACCTTACTGTGATGCAGTGCTGCGTGAAGCAATAACCACAGTGCAACATTTGGAATACACAGAGTTCCTGTAAAATAGCTCACTACTGTAAACATGCACGTTACCTGGCCCTACAACAACTTGTCCACTTAACCTGTTTCAAGGATACACTCACGTTTACTGAAACTCACTCTTATTTACAGATCTTAGAAACCGTGACACTTGATTCTTTGGACTTTCATTGAAACACACATCTGCCCCCCTTACATTTTAAAGGGCCTCTTTTGGATTTAAACAAAAACTCAAATACTTCCTACTAGTGAGGAACAGCAGGAAAGCCAATGTAAGAAGCAGTGACCAACCACTACTGCGTGCAGCCTGAAACTAAAGTTTCAGAAAACAAAGGCAGCAGGCACACGTGTACCAGGGAACATGCCTATCCTGGGAATGGGTTGAGCAAAAATACATTACTACAACAGTCTTAATTATTTTGTAGAGTAAATTCAAACATTTCCCTGTGTTAATTGAAATATCAATTCACCTACAATGTCTGGCTCTCCTACTTGACTAAATCAGTAGAGGGTGAACTATCCAAGGTGAAAATGAGTCACTTAGCAGCACAAAACCCATGGAGCAACTGTCGGGCCACCTCCACTCTGTTGTGGATAGGGAGGAAAGAGAGAGGAGAGGCAGTTAGGGCATGGGAAACATGGCTGAAAATTATTCATCACTCTTTCAGCTCCTGAAGAATTTTTTCAAGCCTTAGGGTTTTGCCTAGTTTCAGACCTTCACTAAGGAAGCCATCCCAAACCATTTCACTCTCCTGCTTGACACGACATGCACTTCAGGTGGGGCCACACTCCAAGACATTCAAGGCATTTTTCAATCTATGCCCTTTGCAGCTCCTCCGTTATGTATGGCAGGCAACACTGAGGCTTTATTTCCTCCTCCAATTAACAGAAATATTAATAGCAGAGTTCTTATACCTTCTCTGTCTGTGCCAGGGCAAAGCTGTCTAGCAGAAAGAGAGAAACTGCCTGGATAAACAGGAGATAGTGACTGTACTCCCACATCATCATGAAGGTGTACGTTGAAGCGCTCACCAAAAGGTAACAAAACTTCTAGAGAAAAAAAAAGAACAAAAAAGGCATGACTTTCATCACTGCACAACCAGGTAACACAGAGGTCATTAACACAGAAGGAGTTATTCTAAGATTTAATTTAAATACTGAATTCAGACTTACTTAACATTTTCTCAGAGGAAGTAAAGTCATCACTGAAATATTAAAAATCATTAAAGTCAAGCAGAAGAAGCATCTTTGACAGAGAGAAGAGGCTACCACTCTCTTCTCCAGGCAACAGGGAAAGTAATGAATTTGCCTGTATGTTGAGAAAAAAAATCTGTATCAGATTATCTTAAAAATACCTCCCATATTCTGGGTATTGTGGGCATACCACAATACTCTCTTAAAACCCTTATGGGGGTAAAACGGAGCAGGGTCTAAGGTCCATGGAGCTCCAGGCAAAAACTGCATGTGCCTAGGTAAAAAATGAAGTAGCTGATTTGAAAAGCACAAACAAAACATCTGGTATTTTCTGCCTGCTAGGACAAAAAAGTGATAAAGTAGTAATTACTTGACAGTACATTTCTACCAGGCACTCTTTAGTACAAAATTTTGTTTTACCTCAGCAGAACAATTTAAGTTTTTTTTTAAATAGCCTGTGAGAGCTGCTACTTGACATGCAAAATACGGCAAGGCCCAATTTTCCCTTGATGGTATGGAGTAATCAATTCTTGTTGTATCTGTCCTAGAACAAAGTACAGATAAAGTTATTAAAGGATTTACGGAATAAAACTATCATGGCAAGCCTAAACAGCACTTCTAGTCAGTATGTCTTTGTAATCGAACCATTCCTATGTCAGGTTTAAAGCAACACTGATGCAGTTTTGCTGCTGATAGAGGTCACAAATTTAATACCATCAGCATGGGAGGTCCCAATCTCTGCTCACTTAGTCAGCAGGTCTCTGTGTAAGTTGCATTTGTAGGACTGAAGCCAAAGGCACCTGCTCCCAGGCCACCCTTGCCCGCAATACTGGGCGCGACAGCGGCACCGTAACCTGCGCTACGGCAAGAGAGGCTCCCCTTGCTCTGATGTCCATAGGCAGGGGGACACTGCCCTAACAGCAGCTTTTCATGTAAGAATAAAAAACAGCTCATTGCTGAGGGGAAAAAAATCCTCAGTTCTCTTACAATGTTTTATAAAAGTGGTTTAGGCGAGCAAGGGATATTTAGATTACAAAGAGATGCTCCCCCACAGCAACAGCACCTGCAGATACTCGGTCCAGAGGGGAAATTCTGTGTAGCAAAACCAAAGATCAAAGGTGCATGGGGAGCATGGGACAGAAGAGCAGCAGGATCTTCTCATAAAACGGCTTGACAGTGTCTGCACAACATGAGCCGCAGGAGAAAGTTTTCAAAAGTGCTGAAGTGACTTAGAAGTACAAGTCACACTTTCAAATGTGATCAAAGGCGTCCGTTTCAGCGGTACAGAGTCTGCTTTGTGTCTACAGTGCTTTTAAAAAGAAGCCTCAAGCTCCTTTATCATTTAGAATTTGAAAGTGTCACCTTTCATTTTTACTTCTGAAACCTTTTACAAAAGCATATTTGGAGCTTTTTTAACTACCGGACCTTTCAATTTATAACAGAGTTTAATCTTCTCTGTTGTTAAAAAATATGGATTTATTCAACCATTTATTCAATGAATATGGATTTATTCATTGCTCAGCCCAGCTTGATGAACAGTATCTTTAGCTACTAATCACAGACTCACTTATGGTGACTTCACACTCCTAAAAGATGCTTCCCAACAGCTCAGCTTTAAAGATACCACTAGCACTTTGCTCTTCTGTAACTCTTTTCCTTCAAATGGATTGACACTGCTTTAAAATTAAAGAGCTCTCTCAAATTCCCAAAGCCATTTGGTGACAAACAAGAACGAGAACACAAGTTCTTATTGCCCAAACACTTCTTCCTATTGTTGTGACGATTCATAAAGCAGAGAGACATTTTCTTGCATATGAAACATGTTAATTTTTTTTTTAATTGAGATCAGAATCATCTAGGAAGATTTAAGTTTGCATAAAAACACTTACACAAAGCAGATTTTTTAAAAAAGAGAGTTTTTACAAGAAAAAAATACATTTGATCATTTCCTTCCAAGCAAGAGAACAAGCATCACAAATATTTACGGCTGGCCTCAGACAACTATTTTGTTTACAGTAGCTTTGGAAATCTTTTTTCAGAACAAAACTGAAACCTTCTGATGTATATTTTTGTAAAAATGGAATTGTATCAAAATATTCATGTAACTCACATGTATAAAAGCTCAGTTTAACTGACAGCATGGCTGGTTTGGACCTGAGGAGGCCTTCCATTAATAAAAGCATCACCAGCATCAATACATCCCTGGGAAACATTCTGTACTCAGCACAAGTGCTTGCTTTCACAAGGAGAACACAAAGTTTAACAGAAAGCATTCCACCCAGCTCTAATATTTTAAAATATCCTATTGACAAGCCAGATTATATAAAGATGTTTTTCTTACCTGTTAATAATGAACCATGCTACAGTCACCATTCCTGCCAGCCAAGTCCCACTCATAACCCAACTGGTTACAAACAATGCAGTCACATAAATTCCCTGCAGTCCAAAAACTATACCAATGTAGAAATACACTGGCTCAATAACTTCCTGAAATTACAAATAAAAACGAAGAGACATAGCGGCAACTGAGCTGAAGCTGGAAATGATACGATTTACATAGTGCTATCAGTGTGCTAGGTGCTTTACAAACAGGTAAGAGATGGCACCTATTCTAGAAAAGTACCCAACCCTTTTATTTTGGGCTCAAGGAGAACAAAGCACTGTGAATTAGCACACGTCAGGACTCTGCTTGCTAGTGCCACATGTTTTGTGTTTGCTTTAGCATGAACATTATATGTGTCAAATTTAATAAATCCATATTGCAGTGAGGTATAAAGTTCACAGGACTCATAAAAAATATGTAGAGCGGGAGCTTGGAGAGGCAAAGATGAGGCAGGAAAGGGTTCCAAACACAGAAAAGCACATATTAAAAACAAAAGAAAAAGAAGAGAGAAAGATAAATGAGAGAGCACAAAAGAGGACATCACTATGCAGCATAAGCAAAACAAAGCACAAAGGTAGCACAAAGAGACAAAAGGTTCACCTACAAAAACTGTTCTTCCTTTTTCCCCATACTGAGATAGGTATAGACAGGCATCACTATCAAGCCTGTACCCTGAAGAAACTGACTTTCCCATTTTTAACGGGTAGCACAAATACTTCTATTAAATTGCTCAGAAATGTGGGAGGTAAAGATCACACAGAAATGTCTAGTGCATATAAACTCCCAAATCCTATGCCAGAGACTCATCAGAACTGAGACAAAACTGGACTCAGTGTTAGGCTTAGCTCCCAATTCATTCACAGTTCATTCAACAAGCTACATATGTTTACTGTATAGAGCAGAGAATGTCACACACACACACACACAGTGTAGTTACATATGCATAAATAGCAGGAGAAATGCACATACTTCACTACCAGATGCTTGGTACAATACACTGGCAATCAACTCTGGATATAAAGTCATTTGCTGGAATGCATTTATAGTCTTCAGCGATACTGTCCTATTGTTGTGTGTCAATTCATAAACACCTGTGGGCAAAAAAAAATATATTATTCTTGAAAGCACTACTGTTGTTCTTAAAATGGGTGGAAATGGTACTCAAAAGCTGCAGGGAAACAAATTTGACCGCTTAAGCTAATGGTACATTCAGGTGCTTTACACACTACTGGTTTTGCTACAAAATTATTACTGTTTCTAGATCCAGCCTTTAAAATGTGTGCCCAAAAGTAAGTAGCTAACCTGTAGTCTTTACAATATCAACACACTGTCACAGTCCTGGAATAACTTCCCCACGGAACACCTTCAAGTGATACTCTGAAGAAGTGAGACAAAGCTCTAATCAGATAACTATAATTTATTAAAACCATGTCCACAAAGAGGTCAGTTATGAAGTCCTCAACAACCTTTCCAGCCCTGTATTTCTGAGACTTCTAAGATCATTCACCTAACACAATACACTTTGGCATGGCACTGAGACTCTACCAATGTTGGCATACTGGAGGATATATCATTCTGAGAGATATTAGGATTAAAAGGAAAAACTAAAACAAAAGAATTTACTGTGTCTCATGACAATGAGGGAGGAGGAATAACTAAAACAAAAAAGGATAGCACGACAGCCAAACCACATTCCTCTTTCCAGCCCTGAACATATCTCGGTGCGTGACCAGCAGCTGTTTCGGGGCAGGCCAAAGCAGGACCTGCAGGGCTGATGCCTGGATTCAGCAGAGCCTCGAGACACCGCCAAGGCCGGGGGCCTCGGCACGCAGCAGACACAAAGCTCCCTGTGCAGGGGAGGGGGTGCCCTGTCCACGCACAGGCTGGGAAACCTCCCCACGGATTATAAGGGACTGACTGTATAAAGACACACATTGCTGGCACACGCTATATCCCAGCCGGGTAACTTCAACCAAGGAAACGGTCGCTACAAAGTTTCACTTGTTCAGCACGATGAGATGAGGGGGCTGAAGGAACCAGCAGCAGGTTCGGCCCTTCGCTCCTTCCTCTCTCCTGCAGCTCTTGCTTTTCTCTCTGGGACAGTGCCAATGGCCTTTGGAGCTCACCAAACCAGCACAAAACTCTTCACTTGTCCTAACACTGCTTTAGATCTAGATGAAAATCAGTCATTCTGGTCCCCACCCTTAAAATAAAGGCCAATTATTCCTATGAAGCAAAAAAATCAACAGTGCAGCACATCTGAAACCAGCAAGGACTTACATATAGGGCAGTATCACAAAAATATTAATCCTCAGTCCATATATTACTAAAGGTAAATTGTCTGGAATATGGGGTAGTAGAGTCTAATTAAAAACTGCATGCTGATCTAGCTTTTTAGAACCTTAACAAAATAATCTGACCCATATTTTTGTCTGAGAGTATGAAACCAACCTCCTTAGTCTGCAAGAGTTTTTAAACTGTCTCCAAAAGTAAAACTGAATTTTTCAAGGTTAATAAAACAAACCTTTTTCATACCTCTTTCAAAGGAAGGAGCCTTTAGCAGTTCTTTATAGAATGAATAATAAATGGCGCTGTCACCCTGAAATGTAATTTCTCGTTCCAGTTCCTAGGAAAAAATAAAGATATATTCACCTCCTGCAATTTCTTCCCATAGAAGACCATATATTTTCAGATAGGCTGCTTTGGTAGTATGGCACATGGTTATGACTCCGCTGTACATCTTCAAAGTATTCTACAGCACATTAATCTCCACAGCACCTCTGTCAGGATATAATGCTCCCTATAACTTAGGGAGCAGGCACTGAATCAGAGCAGTCCGAACCTGCACAGTAAGTGCAAGATTCCCAGGATTGTTTCATATTCACATGCCTGAATTTAATTCAATTTTACACACTTCACTCAGCATTACAGCTCTTAAAAACCATACACCCCTGTTGTTTATATACCATTCTGGTGTGCTTAGCTTATACAATCCTGGTATGTTTCGGTGTACTTTCCAAACTGAAATGTATTTCAAATATAAAGATTAGCAGGGAAGAACACATAAAGACATTACAAGACAAAACTGCCATCAGTAGCACAAATGCCTTAAGGAAAAAAAAGAGAAAAAAAAAAAAGGAAATAAAAGAGTGACAGAGAGAAAAAGAAAAGAAAGGAGAAAGACAGAGAACATATCAAAGAAAGAGACCCCAGCAGAAAGCCATGGGATTCTGAAAGCAAGCAATTCCAACCTGACACAGGTCAACTTTGATTTCAAGGACACAGTTCAGCACTTTGTTTAAGCATGGCTTGACTTTTTCTTTACCTGCCTGCTGGAAAACCAGAATTTCCGTTCATGGTACGTTGAGAGGTACACAGCGTACATCATCCCGCTGGTGACTGCCGCAAGGCAGCCAAAGAAGAGTTTCGCAAAGCGCTGAACTAACACATCTGAAAAGGGACAGTCAAAAAGCTAAAATAGTCCAGAGGACTTGAGAACAAACACAGCATGACATGAAGTATGACTAGTTTCTAAATAGCAGGTAAGCTTGCTGGCATCTGAATTATCCCAACAAAATTAGCACAGATACACAAGGAATTGGATTATTGCTCCTTTTCTACAGTTTTATCTCTCACACTATAACTTCTATTTTCTCTCTATTTTAACAAGCTTCATTTTCAAAGAAATTCCAGGAAAGGAGAATGTCTTCCAAATAAACAAGAGTAAACTCTAGATTCTACCCAAAACACCATAAAATTCTTAAACACACAAATAGAAAAAAAAAGGGGACTTTATCACATCAAACACCAATTTTCATTCTCCTTTCTATTTTTTCATATGTATAAAGAAGGAACTAATCTGAATTTTAACTAACTCATTCAATTGATGCCCATTTCACTTGTGGCTTCCTCGGTTTAGTATGTACATTCAACACCAAAGTTAAGCCTTTGGTAGTTTCAGGAGCATTTGCCTAAGATTGCATTTATTTTAGTTCTTCTAATTCTCATAAAGCTGTAAGTACTTTGTGTCTATTCTTGCCTCAATGCCTTTACTTCCTGCCTTTCAGCTTCGAAACTGAAAGATAATTCCAAGACCAATTAAAACATTTATTTGTCCTCAAACAGCCAACAAAAAGATTCTTAAACCCTCCATCCCCCTCCAAACTGAAACAACCCAGGACTACCGCTTCACTCTGCAATATATAAAATGTCATTATTAAAGAAGCCTAAAGCACATGCCTATTTTTCTAGAAACATTCAAAAACCTAATTCACGATAAGTCTGTTATAGATTACTGTGCTAGAAATATCTTCCCATAAAATGTAAAAGAGTAATGAAAAAAAAAAACAGAAGTTGGTTAAAAATTCTGTAGCTTACATTTTGGCGATTTTCCCAGCTTTGAATTTTCTTTGTTGCTCTCGTCTGTAGCCATTTTGTCAGAATCTGGGTCATTTTGCTTCTTTCTCTGTCGCAGGTCTGCTGCCCCTGAAGACATTTTTGGAAGTTACTGCAACACAATAGCTACAAATGCACCCCGAGAAGTCCATGCAGCAGCAGATAATGGGCAGTTATTGCTACTGAGTCAGCCACACAGCACTTACTTTTGACAGAAAGACTCAAAGTACTTTGTATGTGTAACTAAAGTGAACAACCTAACAGTACACAAACCAAATCCAATCTTATTCCTTAGAAAAACGAACAGTTTTTTCTCAAGGCCACACTGCAATTCCCACAATCCCAACTGCAGTTTTACTGTCTCATTCCATGGCCGTTTATACAAATGAAGGCATGTGGATATGGACACTGGGAGAAATTTGTGTCAGTGTCATTCCACGCACACACTGGTTTTACACAGCTATAAAAAAACAGTGCATTACACACATTATTGTAATGTACAGATCTGGGCTCATCCCTTACTTTTAAACTGGGTTGCATTATATTTGTGGAGCGAAAGTGAAGTATAGCAGATACTTCTTTCCCGTTTCCACATTTACTATAATAGAGCAGAAAAACTCTTTGTCTAACACAGGAAAAAAAGCCCCGGCAGTTGGGCCATGCAGATCACTGCAGATCACAGGGTTCAGGACTTCTTCAGCTGCTGTTTTCTGTAAGCAATGGAAGTTTAAAGCTCTGCTCCGTTTACTTTACACTCTGAGAGGCAATCCCATTAATGCATTGAGTGCAAGTCTACATACAAAAAGACTAATTTAAAAAAAAACTGTTATAATTACTATATTAAAAACACCAATCCACCTCATTTATGAAGTTTCAGAAGTGTAATGAAAAGACTTGACTGTAATTAATACTCTATGATTATTAGCTGCCTGGTTTGACCTACTGCTCCACACACTGGTGACAAACTTTCAACCAGTGGTTTGCTTTTCTCTAGTCATTCAGCCATAAACGTGAGGTGTTAATACTCACATCCCATAATGAAGTTTTCCAGTTGTTAACTGCTCAGGTTGTATACTACTCCAAGTTTACATTAGCCTACATTTATCTCCAGAACATGTAATTTAGAAGAAAGAAACAGGACAGTAATATAGATAAGCCATTAAAGTTGTATCTGTCCGTATTAGGAAGTACATTCATCTGTTTTTACAGGCTTTCCAAAGCAGTATATGAATTACTCTGCACAAATCAAGATCTCCAGTTATAATTGGACTTTTTTTTCATGGAATAAACAGAAAATGTCTGCCTTCTTGAACTAGACAACAATTGGAGCCAAATTCAGCCAAAGAATGTTTAGGGCAATCAATATCACATCTATCATTGTCAATCCCAAATAAAACATACACCGGTACCCCTTCATGTCACATATTTTAAGTTAATCTGTAAGAAGCAAACAGAATGCACAGCTATTAGAAACTGCTTGAACCACACAAAACATGGGAAAAAAAAATATTCAAATCACCAGAGCAGGGAGATATGTGCTTGGGAAGACAACTGCCTTACTTGGCCATGCCAGTGACGACCGAGCAATAACACCAAAGAAAACAGGCACTTTATTTCTTTATTGTGCAGATAAGCTAGCCAGCCTACAAGATGCTCCTAAGAGACCTACCAGCAGTCATAGAAAACTCCTAAAGAAGGAACTAAAAATTCTGATTCTGAAATAGCAACATCTCAAGCAGCAAGTGATCTTGGTTTTGAAGACTGCTCAACAGATTCCCCCAACCCTCAGTCAGCAACAAAGAAAGATCCACGTATGCTATTTCTGTTTCATGTGCAGCTGCTTGAAACAAGAAAAACGCTCTTTCTACTTCTATGAATCCTTCAAACGGAATGAAAACAAAGTCAAATGAGCTGACAACTAAAAATCATCCAAGATTTTGAACTGATAGCACAGTTTTGGTTCCCCTCTATCCAGCAAGCAATTTCTTATCCAAGATTGCTTTCTAGTTCCCTGTAAGTTCCCAAGGCTTTTTTCTTGCCAATTTTTGTTTAGAGAACATGCGTTCCACTTATTTCTGCGTAGGTACTGCAGAAGAGCATTGCTCACTGCTCCTGGGTGCCACTACAGTAATCCACTGCTCATCTGCAAATTGAACACGCTGCGGTTCTGGTGTGCTCATGTTGAGAGGGATAGAGGAGAGCTGACCCTTTTGGAAAAGGGTCACCAGGTTGATGCAAGATGTGCTTCCATGCAAGGCACAGGCAGGCAAGCTGGACCCCTCAATCTGAAGAGCAAAGAGGACCAAGATAAAATGCAGTAGAGGTCTAAGAGCCAACGCATGAAGAGGCTGAACAGAGAGGGATGAGTTTTCTTAACACCAGCGCGGGGCGTTATCTAACACACTGCGGGAGGCAAGTTAGAAGAAGCTGTTGATCACACATCTCCTCCACGCTGAGCTCCGGCTCACTGCTCCACACGCTACAGGTTGACAAGGGAAGAGAGACACGGTTGTGCAGGACTAAACCTAAACTGAAGACTGCAAGACCCACAGAAATCACGGGCAGCTCAGGAGGGCCCAAGTGGAGACCAGCGGGAGATGTGACACACTAGAGGACAGCATCGCGTGCGCCTGCCTTGCTCCTCTCTAGGTGTCCCCTGACCGTCACGTTTCTACCGATTTCCTCCCCCAAAAGTGACGCCGTCCAAGAAGTGCAAGAGCTGCCAGGGCCAGGAGAGCTGCGGAGGAGCAGCCGCCCCCCGGGGCCACCTCGCCGCCCGCCGAGACGGAGGGAACACCGGGAATGGGA